CTCTGAGTTGGTGGCCTGAGTCTAGGCCTAGACCAACCTTGGCTGACTGAGCCTCTGTTTCCACATCCGTTTGCTTACTCCGCTGCCACCACTTCTGTCTGTGGTTTAGCTATTTTACCTTTGTCAGTCTTGACTGCTGCTTCTTGGTCAAACCAAAGTCAGGCACGTAGGACAGCAGATGTCATGTGACAGCCAAAATCATACTGAGTCTGGGATTTAATTTTATACCTAATTTTTTTTTTTTTTTAAATAAATCCTCCCTTGTTTGGATGTGGACCTCTTAGTGATGTTAGTCCTTTTATTTACAAACTTTGGGGTTTGTACTGCTCTTTTTTCCTCCTTTAATTCATGAGCAGAAATAGGAAAATATTTTCATTCAAAAAAAAGGTAGACTTTTAAAAATTCTAAATATGGAACTTACATAATTAAGTGAAGTGAAACTTCTCGCTATTCTCCGTGTATATTAAAAACTATTTATGTTATATAAAGAAGTTTACAGACCTCTCTTTATTTAAAAGAGGGAGGGAGGGAGGGAAGGAGGAAGGAAGGAAGGAAGGAAGGAAGGAAGGAAGGAAGGAAGGAAGGAAGGAAGGAAAGAAAATTGTTTTCTTAGCTTTGCTGACTCATCATGATGAATTTCACTCGGGTTTAATCCTTCCAAGGTGAAAGTTGACCGGGAAGAAATGTCAAACCACTCAGTGTGGATCAGTTCCACACAATACTGTGGTTTCTGAGATTGTTTTTATTTTTGCTTTTGTTTTCTGGGATTGGATACAGAACATGAGGTAATAATAATATTACTTAGTTAACATTTATTAAATGATCTTGTGTGGGTAGAAGCTGTCATTATCCTCTCTTTCCAAATGAGGAACAGAGAGGTTAACTGGCTGGGAGACGGCAGAGCCAAGGTTCACATCCAAGCACCTGGCCTCAGAATTCCTGCTTCTGACCACTCTGCCCTCCAGCTTATCTTCTGTCTTAGGAGCAGGAAAGAGAGCAGTGGGATCATCACACAAGGATGGAGTTTGTGCCTGGCTAGTTGAGAGATGTATACATAGGGCGTTATTTCACTCATATTTGTGATAGAAGATGAGAATTGAATGTTCTTAGTGTATTTTTTCTTCTATTACTAATCACAATTTAAAATATTCCCATTTGAAGTCTAGTAATATTTTTCATTTATTCATTGAACTTATTGAGTACCTTATTGAACTTATTGAGTATTCATTAAATACTTATTGAGTACCTACTATAGGCCTAGACTGTTCCAGGCAGTGAGGATATAGTTGTGAACATGACAAATTAGATACCTTCTCTCATGGAGTTTTCTAACATTCTAATGGGAAAGACAGAGAAATAGTTAAGTTGTGGGGCACCTGTGTGTCTTAGTCAGTTGAGCATCCGACTTTGGCTCAGGTCAGAATCTCATGTTTCTTGAGTTCAAGCCTCGAGTTGGGCTCTGTGCTGACAGCTCAGAGCGTGGAGCCTGCTTCAGATTCTGTGTCTCCCTCTCTCTCTGCCCTTCCCCTGCTCATGCTCTGTCTCTCAAAATAAATAAATGTAGAAAAAACATTTAAAAAAAAAGAAATACTTAAGTTGCTATGAAGAAACTTTCATGCAGTCTCTGAAGAGGTAGCATTTGTAGGAGGCAGATAGTAGGTGACATATGAACTTTGGGAAGATCCGAGGAGCACGTTCCAAGTAGAGGGAACACATGGTACAGATGATGGCAGTGGGAGGAGCACTGGGAAGGGAGTGAGTGAGGGGAGCATGTCAGAGACACAGGAGGAGAAGCAGACAGGGCTGGCACATTGGGCTTTGTGGGGCACCATCCAGAAGGGTGTAGAGCAGGGGCCCAACATGATCTTATTTGACTGCTGTGTGGAATGACTTGTAATCCAAGAATAATCTTGGAAAGAGTATTGCCCCCTATAATAACTTTCTAACTCAGTCAAGTATGATTGATGTCTCAAAGTTATTATTCAGGTACATTCAGCACACTTTCTGTACTCTTTCTCATTTGTCAGTCATTTGAAGGTGGAAAATGATAATGTGAGCCCCCTACAGACAGAACATAGCATTGCCTCTTTTGATGACGTGGGGTCAAGCCTTCAAAATAGTTGGGGAAATGACGATGCTGAGGAATGGAACTTCAATTATCTTTAATTTAAAATAGGGGGAACAGATGTGAATTGGCAGATGGCACAGTGAAACGTTTTCCCCAATATAGTATAGGTTATTTCAACTTTGGTTATTATAGTCTTTTTGAATTTTATTTATGTATTTAATCACACACAAGCGGTCTTGTAAAAATTTATATTGTATCTATTTTTAATATGCCAGCAATAATTTAAATGAAGAGGAAAGTTTAATTTATATATTTTATAGCTAGTTTTTGATAGTTTTTCTTTTAATTTAAACATTTTACTTTCATGTCATTATAGAAGACAAATAGTTCATATGTATTACGTACGTGTATATTTTTTATCCAGTAAAGTTCCACAAAAAATTCTTATTGTATTTAAATTCAGACCACATTGGTATTGGAAATTCAACCAGTATTCTTAAGACACATGGTGAGAGGGGCGCCTGGGTGGCTCAGTCGGTTAAGCTTCCGACTCTTGATTTTGCCTCAGGTCGTGATCTCACGGTTTGTGAGTTCGAGCCCTGCATTGGGCTCCGCACTGAGCGTGCCCAGCCTGCTTAGGATTCTCTCTTTCTCTCTCTCTCTGCCCTTCCCACGAACTATCTCTTCTCCCAAAATAAATAGATAAAATTAAACAAAAGATGTATGGTGAAAAAATTTTGTCAGATATAAGGAAATGCAGCAGTCTCTTCAACTTGTATGTTCAAAAGCATACCATTTAAGGGTAAACCCCACATTTATTTAGAATGGTTAGAAAATAGAATGTGCTAGTTAAAGTTGATTTTTTTATGTCATGAAGTTTATTGACCACAGGATCTCTGCATTCACAGTTTATAAAACACTAGAGGGGTGCCTGGGTAACTTAGTCAGTTAAACGTCTGACTTCGGCTCAGGTCATGATCTCACAGTTTGTGAGTTCAAGCCCTGAGTTGGGCTCTCTGCCGTCAGTGCAAAGCCAGCTTCAGATCTTCTGTCTCCCTCTCTGTCTGCACCTCCCCCATTCTCTCTCCCTCTCTCAAAAATAAACACACGTTAAAAAGAAAAGTTAAAAAAATTAAAAAATCAAAGAAGTAGAAATCTTATCATTGACTAGATGTTTTCAGACTGGTTTGTGTGTATGAGTGTGCATGGTGGACTCTGGTCTTCTCACACCAGGTTCAGGTTCAGGTTCTCTATGAGGTCCTCGGTAAGCTTTGGTTGGAGAATAAGTTTTCTAACGCACATTTCCTACAATGTAAAAACAACTATCAGAAAACAACTTAATTTTTCTAGATCTATTCAGAAAGTACTTCCAAGATTGGAATTATGAACTAAAATCAACCTTAAAAAAAAAAAAAAAGTCCATTTGGGGCACCTGGGTGGCTCAGTTGGTTAAGCGTCCAACTTCAGCTCAGGTGATGATCTTGCAGTTTGTGGGTTCAATCCCCACGTTGGGCTCAGTCTTAACAGCTCAGAGCCCGGAGCCTGCTTTGGATTCTGTGTCTCCCTCTACCTGCCTCTCCCCCATTTGCACTCTTGTGTTTCTCTCAAAAATAAATAAACATTAAAAAAAACTTTTTTTAACTTCCTTTTTTTTTTTTTGGATTCCTGGAGAAAATTTGTTAAGTATTCTGGTTATTTGCAACCAGAACAGAAGTGAGCCAGAGGCCCTTTCTAGCCAGGGTGTTTATTTCAATACAAATTAACAATGCAGTTTCTTATCAATCAGGTGTCTCATGTTTTATAAGAGTCACGCTACCATAACTCCCCGTAACAGTACAATGAACTCTAGTAACCGAAAGCTTTTATTGCCGATGACTTCACTAGACTTGTCTAGACAGCAGTTACTCTCTAAAATCATAGCATGTTAGGGCTGGAAGAGATCTAACAAAGATACCGTAATTTAGATGGCCTAAATATTCTGTTTGCCATTGTAGCCATGGTTTTGGGGTTTGAGAGATGGTAAGACCAATGACTTCAGGCTGGAAAGTGGGAAACTGATAGGCATAAATATAGGAAGGGCCGAACTTTGGTTTTGGATGCGAGTATAAACATATAAAAGTATTCTTCTCTGGAAAAGAGCAGCAAATTTGAAAGGAATTTGATGTCTGCTCATGGTTGTCAAAGTGAGAGAGACTCCCTGGAGGTTTTACCCGGAGAAAGTAATTGCAGTCAAATTCATAACCTTTTGGATTGACTTCTTTTGGCAAAGTAATGCCAGCTTAAGAAAAAAATAATTCTAGCATTCTAATTTTTGGTAATGAAATCCATATGCTATCAGTTTGTTGTTAGTGAGATTGGGTTTGGCTCTGCATGGTTCCGCAACCTTCAGTCATTTTAATCAGGTCAACAGAATGATTAGTCAAATAGAAACACTGACCGACTAACAAACTTTTTAACTGGTTGTTTTGCTCTCCTGGTTGATGCAGATACGATTTGATGTAGAGCCTGACTCTGTGGCAAAGACCAGAATGTACCTGCTAGATCAAAGGAGTTCAGTTGCTTTGATTGACTTAGATTTGGTCTGAGCATCTGGCATAAAAATAGCCTTGTCTCTGAGAAAGTGTCTTGACGCCTTTATATGATTTGAGTATTTAAATAATTGGATGGGTGGGACAGTTGTTACAGAAGTGTCCTGAGGTAGATAGTCGCGGACCTTCTCATTAACTTTGTAGATGTCAGAAAGTGACTTATGCCAGTAAGACTTTCTCCAGAGAAAGAACAGTAATGATTTCCTGATGATTTTGACTGATTGGGAACAAACATTAAGTGCTTTGTGTTTGCGGAAGGTTTTCATGTGAAACATACTTTGCTCCAATTCTCGTGAAAATGAGTGAATAACTTGCCTCTCCCTCTGACTGTCCTATTTCTGTAGGAAGCCGCCCTCTGTAGACAGCTCCCCATGGAAGCCGAGACTCTAGTCACTGTTCAGCCTGCTGTCAACCCGCCAGCCATGACCCCAGACATGAGATCCATCACTAATAATAGCTCAGATCCTTTCCTCAATGGGTAAGTTAGCATTTTGGAGTAACTTCTTTTTGCTTTCTTTATTATGTGGTCTTAATGTATAATGGGTCTTTGTTTATGTTGGGGAAAGGTGGGGAGCTTGAAGTGTGGGGTGGGGATAGAGGGAAGCCCTCCATTTCCTGATGTTGGTAATTGTACTATGGTTATGTAAGATGTCCTTGGGGAAGCTGGGTGAATGGTGCACAGGAACTCTGTACTCTTTTTACAGTAAAAAAATTTAATTAAAACAAAGAGATGATGTTTTTAAAATATGAAGCATGTGAGCAGAAAGAAAAGATAATTTGGCCAGAAACATGTTCATGAGTAGAAGTAGTCAAACCTTAATTGTACCTTTTTCAACCCAAGTAAAGGGCAGTTCTCTATTTCCTGTGTCTTTTCTGCTCTTGCAGAGGCTTGTAGCAAACAAACAAATACAATTCTGAAAGTTTTTAAAAATAGAAAGAGAGGTGAAAACAAACAGTAAGTGAAATAATGAAGAAAAGGAATTTTTAAATTGTTTAAATTTTTAAATTGTTTAAATTGTTGACTTGAAATATTGCAAATGTGCAGAATAATATAAATAACAGGATTTACCCATGTATACAACACTCATATTTGCCATACTGCCATAGATCTTTTTTTTTTAAGTATTATAGTTAATATTTAAACCCATCCCCACCGCCACTGAAATCTGTCTCTTTCTCTTCTTCCCTCCCTAGTGGTAGCCACTATTCAGAAATTGGTGTATCCATCACACATATTTTTATACTTCCTTTTGGTTGTTAATGTATGCATTCATAAGTAATATTGAACATTGTTTTCTTTTTTAAGAAATTTACATAAATGCCATCATACTCTATTTGCAGAACATGGTTCAACTTATTATTTTGAGATAGAAAGGAAATCAGTGTCAATTTACCATGAAAGGCCACTTTTATTTGCCTACAGTCTTTTAATTTCACTGACATTGGTGTGCATGCTTTAAAATTAATGGGAGGTGCAAAGTCTGCCTCCCTTCATTACCTGGAAAGCGGGACAGAATGGCAGAACTGCACCAGTTTAGGGTTTTTGTGACCTGTGGTTTTATTTTGGAATTTCTTGGCGTGGGCTTGCATTGAAGTTTCTCCCATATTTTGCTCCCCAGGGGGCCCTATCATTCGAGGGAGCAGAGCACCGACAGTGGCCTTGGGTTAGGGTGCTACAGTGTCCCGACGACCCCAGAGGACTTCCTCAGCAACGTGGACGAGATGGACACAGGTGAGAGCAAAGCCTGCGGGTACTTGCAG